TATTCTCTTTGTTGGGTTTGTATTAAAACTATTGATTATTGATTTTGTTTACCACTTAAATCGACTTTATAATACTTATAATAAATAAATCACACAATACTTTAAATGTATGTCTACTGCCACTAGTTCATTTATTAGAATTATAATTAATTTATTCAAAAAATTCATAAAATTGACATAGATTCTCCGATTTTATTATCATAGAAAAAAAAATTATTAATTAGTGAAAAAAGCAGTAGAGGCGCTTTCATCGATGTATATCTATTATCTATGAATATGACCATAGATAATAGAATGTGACGGCAAATGGCAGCAATCAAACTGATCCATTAAAAATTGCATTAACATAGTCTAAACATTGTTGTTACGTGTGTTTATATTCCTTCATTATTATTTATACATTGTAAGTATTTATAAGTGTCGTAGCCTCATGTAATTCGATTTTCCGAAATTTGTGGCCTTGCCGTTTCTAGAATTACTGGTGAATAGAAATAAGTTCTAAACCTTTAAATAAATTTATAATTCAGGCTTCTTTAAATAATTGTAATATTTGCCAGCTGCAAATTAAAGAACTTGTGTAGTAAGAGAATCCATGGATGATGGAATAACTGTGGAACATTAATGAAAGTCATATTTTGTGTCCACTGTGTGATAATAAAAGTTGTCTGAAAGTTTGAGATGTCTCCAAGCAAAGTATGGGGTAAGTGTTGAAAAAATAATTTCAGAATTTTCTAACTCAAAAGAGTGTGAGGTATGAGAAGTATTTCAGAAATGTCAAAGGAAGAACAGCAAAATTAATGTGGTACTATCTTTTCTGGCTGTATGAACGTTAGCTTTTATTTTTTTATTTTAATTTTTTTTGAAAATTGTAATATAAACTATCCACCTTATGATTATGATACATATATTGTAACTTTAATGTGAGAGTCAGGAGAAAAGTGATAAGGATTAAATATTGTAGCAGATGTTTATTTTACTTATTAATGAATGTTACATTGTGTATATATTATTATAGCAGTCAACTTTAAAGTATGATGATAATGATTTTTTTGACGTGGGATGTCTGACATGGTATCCATTCTCAATTTGGTTTGCTTTCCACATGTAAACAATGGAACACATTCTACAGTTAATTAAGGTAATAATACATTATTTACTTAACTGTTTTATTATTTTCAGATATTTTAATTTAACATACCCTCATTTTGAAGTAATCCATATTTTCTGGGTGACATCAGGTTTGCATTTAATAATGCACGAGAAGTTAAAGGGGATTGAAAATTAAATTGTGGCATCTGTAAAAAAAATAATGTGTTGATTAATAATAACAAAATAAATATAAGTAAAATTAGGTAATAGGATGATGCAAGTTCTTTTATCAAGGTTTAGTTCCTTTAAAAATAAGAGTTGCAATTTATCATTGTTTTTAAATAAAACCTGTTTGCAATCGTATGCAGTAATCTATTTTAATAGTATCTTCAAAATTTCTGTCATACTGAGAACCATTATCAATTTTGCAACTTTAAGTAAGCGCCTTAATGTTTACAATAAGTTGATAACTTCAGATGTAACTGGAAACCAGACTTTTAAAAAATGCAGCATGTCATTCCATACAGCTTTTATAAACAAAATAACTTTGCAGCTCTTTATTTTTATGAAATTAAATAGGAAGAAGGTTGGAGTGAAAAGGGGCTACTTTGTACATTTGATACTAACCTGAANTCAAATATAGCGTCTGATACAGTCGAGGCGTGGTTAGGTTTTGGTCCAATTATTATATGTAACAATGGTTAGTAAGAGTCAGTTTAAACCTGTCGTAGCTTGAGTTTGCGACTTATTGACTTCTTTATTATTACCGTCTGGTCGATTATTATTCCTTAATGTTTCGAAAGTTTTCTGAGTAAGATAACGATATGACTTTCGAAAAGGCGAGGAGTAATTGATAACGGGATAATAGCCCGAAAACCGACAACTCGAGACTCAGCTTACATTGATAAAGTATAAAGAAAATGCTCAAATAAAACGATAACCGTTTCTATGGGGATTACACGGGTTTTGAGCTGAAAATTGCAATTAAGAATAGGCCTTTGCGTAATACTAACACATTCGGAATCGATCAGTTTGGTTGTAATGTAGCTGTAAGGCCTTTGGAAATTATTAGGCAATTATATATGGCCCAATTTCGGGGCATTGTTGACAAACTCATAATATTACAGTGTCTTATTTATTAAATACGTGTCGCCTGTTTTTTTATTAAAACATTTTCTGATTTTATGCACATTGTCAGTAATTTTTGAGTAGTGGTAATTTTTATACATATAAAAAAAAAAACATGTACCTATCTAGTTGTGACTGTGAGGCCAAACCTGATATACATGATACATATAATTTTAGGAAGAAATCAATAAGAAGGTTGCCGTTTTGTAAAGATTTTGTATTCATGTTTTTTAAGTCGATCTAAGAAGTAAAAAAATTAAACAATACAATACGTTTCTATGTAGCAACATCGCATGTGCAGTAGATGACCTATTACCCTTAAAGAAAATTAAAAAGGTATGCTTTTTTCAATTGGAATATCTTCAAAATTAGAGTTTATTTGAATTACTAAATATAAACTTGTAGGTACTGTGACCTATAATTTAATATAGATTATTATTATCATCATTTCTGTCTAAAAGGCAAAACATTTTTTTTTTCAGTGTAGGAAAGAAAAGTAATAATTACCAAAATTGAATGGTTTTATTTCAGAACAAGAACGAATGGAAAAATAACATTTAGCAAAGTAACAAGTTGTGTTTAAACTTAACATATGTTCCGAAGTTACCTACTTAATATAACGCATATTTTCAGTTTAGTAAAACATATCAAAAAGTTTTTTTTGACCCGAAGGACCATTTTTTGAAGTACATTCTCCAAATTTAAAAAAAAAGTTATTGGACTGTTTATTCTTATTTTCGTCTTTATTGTCTTCTTTTTCGTCAGTAGTGTTCAACAAAAATGAATTAATCGGAGAACATACGTAGTTTTCTAAAATTTATAAAAATAATATAGAAATTTTAAAGTTTTTGGAAATATTAATTATTGACAATTACCATTTCCAGTATCCATGTAATTTTGCACGTCAATACCTGAAACTGTAAAGTCATGTAAGGAATATTTGTTACAATTTATTGTGATTCATTACCGTTTAATTGATTTGGGGCATCTCCAAATTGAAAGCGCGGAATTTCATTTGGTCTATCGAATTGACCAAAAGTAGAAGAATTATTAGCATTTTCGTATCTGAAGCTTGGTTCAATACTAAATGAATTATTCAAGGACTAAAACGAAATATATTTAATAACCTGCAGTAAAATATACATGTTCATGTTTATTAAACCACGATGAATTCACTTAAATTAAAATTCGAAGCCATTTAGGATAAATAACTTTTTTAAGAAAAGAAAACCAACTTAAAATTAAGATCTCAAAAATTATTGCGTAAAATTTTCAACAGAAAATAGTTTGTGTGCAGATATGTATAAGATATTTGATAAAAATAAAAACGCATTTAAATATTGTAGGAATATAATTCATTTTAATTCTACAACTGTAACAGGTTATTACCAAAATAAATAATATCCTGTTACCTTTCTCAAGAAAAGGTGTAATTTTACCGAAACAATTGTAGAGTTATAATAAACTCTATTCCTGATACATTTACATGTGTTTTTATCTATTGTTATCAAATATTTAAAAACTGTTTCATTAAAAATGTGTGTAAGAGATGTACCATAATGCGACACTACAAATTATTTACATTATTGTCTACGAAGTGTTTTTTTAATTACTCGAATTAAATGTGTTAATTTCCATAAATTCCATAAAATTAAATTTGATTAATAAAATAAAAAAATATTCTGCTTACTCTGCCATAATTGTCTTCATTACATACAAAAGATTGACTTTCTGTCCCTTGATCTTCGCAGTGTACTTCGTTGTTTTCCTTATCTTCGTCAGTATTATCTTTTCTGCTTCCTGATAGTAATTTAAACTGAATCATCTCAGGAGTTAGGCCAGTTTGATTATCTTTGAGTTGATTTGTCACAGATTCTTGTGAAAATAACAAATCTTGACTATTTATTGGTTCTTGTTCAGCATTATTTGTCGATTTTTGAAAAGAAAATATGTTTTTATTTGATTCCCTTCTTAATGGACGAGTCGCATCTTTATTCATGCCGGCCAAAGAGCTGGTTTTTGGTCTGTTGTTATCAAATTTAATTTTTGGATCCATAAATTGTCCACGTTCATTATTAGAATTGTAAGAAGTAAGTGGGATATGTTGAGTTTTCTGAACGAACGTATCATTATTTGTGCTTTGATTTTTGTTAGGATTTGTGTTGTTGAATGTAACAGGAGATGGAGGAATTACTGTAACATCGATAACTTTCACCTTTCCATGACTTTTATTATTGAATGTTTTCATTGAGTCATGCCCTTGGCTATTCTGGTTTTGAATTTTTTGAGAAGTACCTTGAGATAGGTTTTGAAAATATGGACTCGCGTCAAACTGATGCTTTTGTAAACTGTTCACTAAACGTTTATTTTCACCTTGTTCAGCAGGTGCGTTAAGTTTTCGCTTTTTTATTCCGTCGATAATACCTTTATGATTTGATTCTGAAATATTATATTTTCTGTAAATATTTACTTAACTGTTTTATTATTTTCAGATATTTTAATTTAACATACCCTCATTTTGAAGTAATCCATATTTTCTGGGTGACATCAGGTTTGCATTTAATAATGCACGAGAAGTTAAAGGGGATTGAAAATTAAATTGTGGCATCTGTAAAAAAAATAATGTGTTGATTAATAATAACAAAATAAATATAAGTAAAATTAGGTAATAGGATGATGCAAGTTCTTTTATCAAGGTTTAGTTCCTTTAAAAATAAGAGTTGCAATTTATCATTGTTTTTAAATAAAACCTGTTTGCAATCGTATGCAGTAATCTATTTTAATAGTATCTTCAAAATTTCTGTCATACTGAGAACCATTATCAATTTTGCAACTTTAAGTAAGCGCCTTAATGTTTACAATAAGTTGATAACTTCAGATGTAACTGGAAACCAGACTTTTAAAAAATGCAGCATGTCATTCCATACAGCTTTTATAAACAAAATAACTTTGCAGCTCTTTATTTTTATGAAATTAAATAGGAAGAAGGTTGGAGTGAAAAGGGGCTACTTTGTACATTTGATACTAACCTGAAATGGCGGAAGTATTTTTGGGATGGCAAAGGAGCTTCTTTTAAATAAATCTTAAAATAAATTTTATAGTTTAGAAAATATTTATATGAATTTTTAAATTCTTACTCTGTTTTTCAAGCCCAGAATACTTTTTTAAAAGTTGGATCTCTTCTTTCTCTAATTGCTTACGTAACACGAAGGTGTCTCTATTTTTCTTATAAGAAATAATAGTTTCTGCAAACTGTACTATTGCTTTATAAAATTCCCGTTTCTTCATTTCTGTAAACTCTTCCTTTATCTTTTTCTCTGTCTTTATATCATCCCGTAACACTTCTATTTCTGCTTCTAGTTCTGCATTCTTTTCCTGTAACTCTTTTAATTGTTTGTAATCAAGTGTGTTTTCTTCATATTCTTTTATCATTTCTTCGTATTTTTCATGAGATTCTTTAATTGCATCTGCATATTTGTTTTTAAAAGTTTCAAGGCGTTCCTCTAGTTCTTCTTTCTCTTGTTGTGATACTATTATATGATCACTCAATGTTTTTAAACATTCATTGGATCTGGATGAATAATATATAAAAGAATTAATACAAACTTTAAATTAGTGTGTAGAAGTAGATGACCTATTACCCTTAAAG